ACCAGTATATTATTATTATTATATCATTACTAAAGATTTTATTTATTATGTATATAATATTCTGTCTGCATGTATGCCTGCACAGCAGAAGAGGGCACCAGATCTCACTGTAGATGGTGTGAGCCACCAAGTGGTTGCTGGGAATTGAACTCGGGACCTTTGGAAGAGCAGCCAGTGCTCTCAACCTCTGCGCTCTCTCCCCAGTCCTCTCACTTTAAATAGATAGGCTCTTGTGGAGCTTAAGTAGCCTTGATTCTACTCTGTAGCTAAGGTTGACCTGGAACATCTGATTTTCCTGCCTCTGCCTACAAGGCGCTAGGATTAAAGGCCTTCATCATCCACCACCCTTGTTTTGTGTGGCACTAGGATTGAACCCGGCACCTCCTGCACGCTAAGTGAGCCCTCTCCCAGCTCTGCTACATTCCCAGCCCCACTGCATTCAAACACCAGTATGTTTTTGTTTGTTTAGTTTGTCCCCAAACAAACTATACAAGGATGGTTCTCATGGGACAAGCATGTGTTAATCCCAAAGATGGGAGGAGAAAGACCATCAGCCCAAATCATTATGGCCAAATTAATTAAAGCAAGCAGGTAATTAAATTAATCTTTTTTGTTCCTGTGAAGGAGCTGCCTCCCCCCAAGGTAGGGTTCAAGAGGTCAGCGTTAGAGATAATGACGATGAGGTTGTTTATAGCTCAGGGATAGGGGCTTTCCAAATGGAGGATTTGGTGAGCAAAATAGGCAGGGTTACAGGAGCAGAGCATAAGTATAGCAAGTTGGTCCTAACAACCTCCTGAAACAAAGACATGGTTGCAAGGTGGGCATAACAGGTGAACCTACAACCTTTTGAAACAAAGGTAAGGTTGCAAGATGGTAATAAAATATCTTTTTGAAACGAAGACATGATTGCCATTTCCTGGCGCATCACAAATGGTCTGTACTTGCCTCATTTCTTCTTCCTTCCTTCCTTCCTTTCTTTCTTTCTTTCTTTCTTTCTTTCTTTCTTTCTTTCTTTCTTTCTTTCTCTCTCTCTCTCTCTCTTTCTTTTTGTTTTTCCAGACAGGATTTCTCTATGGAACTATCTATAGACAAGGCTGACCCCAAACTCACAGAAATTCACTTGATGCCTGAGAGGTTAGGAGCACTGGCTGCTCTTCCTAAAGGTCCTGAGTTTAATTCCCAGAAACCACATGGTGGCTCATAACCATTTATAATGAGATCTGGTGCTCTCTTCTGGGTTTCAGGCACACATACAGGCAGAACACTGTATAAATAGATAGATAGATAGATAGATAGATAGATAGATAGATAGATAGATAGATAAAATCTTTTTAAAAAGAAATCTGCCTGCCTCTGCCTCCTGAGTGCTGGGGTTAAAGGGGTGCATTTCTGCCTCTTCTATTCCAGGATTAAAGGAGTACGCCACCATGTACGACCTTCTTACTTTTTAAATAAACTGTCTCTAACTAAGGAAGCAGAGACAGACAGATCTCTGAGTTTGAGGCCAGCCTGGTCTACAGAGTGAGTTCTAGGACAGCCAGGGATACACAGAAAAACCCTGTCTTGAAAAACCTAAGTAAATAAATGAACAGTCTTTTTCTTTCCCTTCCTTCCTTCCTTCCTTCCTTCCTTCCTTCCTTCCTTCCTTCCTTCCTTCCTTCCATCCATCCTTCCTTCCTAAGTATATTCAGGAACACCCAGACAAAAAGATGCCAGCACAGGTTTAAAGGGGCACAAAGAATCCTGTTCGCATGGTGCTGGCAGGCCACCTTCCTGACCTGTGGGCCAGCCTGGAAGCTCTCCAAAGCCAGTAGGTCAGGGATTTTTATAAACATTTCATCATGGGGGCATGATAAATTGTTAACTGGTTTCCAGCTCCTCTTTCCAGGATGTGAGGGCACAACTGAACTTTTCAAGGATCTACTCATATTTTGATCTTGTGCCCAGCTGCCATCAGGAGCCACCCGAGAGTTGCTTGATTAGAAGAAAATCAGAACCAGGTGATGGTGGCAGGCCCCTTCACTCCCACCACTCTGGAGGCAGAGGCAGGTGGATCTCAGAGTTTGCAGCCAGCCAGGACTACAAAGGGAGTCTCAGGACAGGCAAGGCTACACAGATAAACCCTGTCTGTGGGGTAAGGGGTGTCAGTCAGAATTCTTGAAAAGCTGCTGATGGAGCTCCTCTGAGGTTGAGCGCTCTGGCTGATGCTGCAGAGGACATGACATCCACACAGTGGCTCTCACCATCTGTGACATAACTCCATTTCCAGGGAATCCAACACCATCTTCTGACCATCCTCAAGCACCAGGCACACGCGTGGCATATAGACACTCATGAAGACAAAAACCAGTAAACATAAAATAAAAATAAATCTTTTTCCTTTTCAAATGTCAGTGGCAGCTGGGAAACACACCTGGCAGCACTTAGGAAGCAGAGGCGAGCAGATGTCTATGAATTTAAGGCCAGCCTGGTCTATAGAGCTACACAGAAAAACCCTGTCTCAGCGCAAAACAAGAATGGCTGTGAAGAGTTTGGAATGGCATAGGCCCTGAGCCTATATACAACTTTTGGGGACTGTCTTTAGCTTCCTTAACCACCCCCATGTCAGACCTAAAATCCTGATAGATGGATAAAACCCTCTGTAATGTATTAACTTAACCTAAATTTCACCAATGGAAATACTGAGAAAAATCTCAGATAACATCTGGGACCTGCAGCTGAGATTCCCTGCAGCAGCCCACATCCCTGTTTCCACCAATGTGTGAGGTCTAAACTGGGCTTCACCATCAGAAAAATCTGCTTGCTTTTCTTTTACCATAGAAACACCATAAGACTGCTTCAACATTAGAACATCGGGCTGAAGGAGATCTAAATCTGTATTTCTGGGACATGGTCACTCTTTTTGTGATTTTTCGAGACAGGATTTCTCCATGTAGTAGTTTTTGTCCTGAACCAGATAAAGGGAAAGTACTGGACCTAAGCTTCCTTCTAAGCAGGCTAAGCCCTGTGCTTCCTAGCCTGTTTGGACTCTAATGGACTGTGTAGTCTCCAACGAGACATGCGGAACTGAGACCACTGTAGTTTTCAGGCATGCTGCTCCCTTTGTTTGGTTATTTTTGAGTGTATGTATGACTGCTGGCGACCCCCCCCCCCAAGGTCAGAGGTGTCAGCATGCCTGGAACTGGAGTTACAGGAACTTTTGAGCCTTCTGGCTTAGGTCCTCTCTGTACATGCCCTTAACTGATGAGCCCTCTCTCCAGGCCAACCCACCCTACACCCCTGTATTTTATGTAAAAGACATATCTGTATGTAGCTAATTCCTAAAGCATATGTGAGAATCTGAAGGAGGCTGGGCAGTTGCTCAATGGATAAAGCATTATGTGAAGACATGAGTTCAAATCCCCACAACCCACCTAGTCAGGTGGTAGCACTCACCTGTAAGCCCATGCTTTATGATGAAGTGGGACACAGAGATAGGAAACTGCCCCCCAAACAGTAAACAAGAGACCATGAAACAAAGTGAGGGAAAGTCCCGCACCTGCCATTGTCCATACGTGCCCCACACACCCACAGTAAGGAACAGAATCACCTTTGGGGAGACATGCCTTTATCTCCTTCCTTAAGGTCTTAAGCCACTGGGGCAGTGCAGAGACCTGTTTGGGGACCACTCCCCAGAAAGTAGATTACATTATGTGCTGTTTTCTTTCCAGAATTCCTGGCCCCTTAGTGCAGTCTGAAAGAGGTTCAGATCTGATGCCTGCTGTAGTGATGTTGTGCCCAATTCGAGAGACTCCCAAAAGACCATTAGGAGTCAAGTCTGTTGCAAATCACACAAGGGTTTTTATTCAAGCTTAAGCTCGGGCCACCAATCTTCCCTGATGTAGCAGGTTAGAAAATGAGGCCCTGAGGCTCAGGGAGGCAAAGCTTTTAAAGGGAAAAACCACAAGCAGGGAATTCCAAGTCCTGCAGTTACAGAGAAGGGAAAGTTTTGGGTGGAGGGTTCAGCAACCGAGATGACCTTCAGGCTAATTGTTCCAAGCCACCTGGCCAAACCGACAGATGTCTAATGCAATTTTGGTCCAACAAGAGAAGTAAAATATATCTATCCACTTCTAGTTAGATGGAGCCTTCTTACATTTCTCACAAACCAACAGCCTCCACTCAGAGAACCATTAGATGCCGTCTCTTCCCTGAACCCTGCCCCCACGTTTTATTATTTTATTTTCTATGAATCTCCTGCATTCCTCTGGGCCTTTGTCTTTCTACAAAAAGTATAAGATGGTGGCTGACTCATTTGCCGTAGAAAATTCGGACTAAAAAGCCTTGATATTTTTCCCACTTGGTCTTCATTTTGAATCTAGTAATTCTATGACAAAATCTCTTTACGAGATATTATATTATTTCTAAAATACCAATGTTTGCACAGTATTTTAAAAACCCTATTCTTACTAATCTAAGTCACTATGTTGACGGTTTCTCCTTTTCGGGGAAAACACTGTTGCTAGATGAATAGCTTTTCCGGAGCCCCGAAAATGCAGGTGGACTACATAACTTCAGAAGGAGCAGTTGAAGACCGCCTCACCTGCAGGACTAGCAAGAACTACAATTCCCAGCGGTCCCTGCGGTGGCGCGGCTTGAATGCGTGCTCCCGGTGCGTCCTGTGCTGTTCCCGCCAATTCGTGTGTCAGTCTTGTGCGAGTCTAGTTCCTCACTTCATGGAGTCATTTGATCCCGCGGAGCTGCCGGAGCTCCTCAAGCTTTATTACCGAAGGCTCTTTCCGTACGCCCAGTACTATCGCTGGCTCAACTATGGCGGAGGTGATGGAGGCGGGGGACGGGACGGGGAGTGGGGCTGGGAGCGGTGTGCGAGGATTCTCTGGGCGGGATGTCCTTAAGTGACTGTATCTAGGCCCTCTGAGCGTCAGGCGCAGGGTGCCTCCCTGCCTTATCTCTATCCCGCCCCACCGCCTGTAAGGTACAAAGACAGACGGACCTGACAGCCGTCCCGAGTCAGCAGTGAGGAGGATGCCTTTCTTCTTCCTAGGACCTGGTTGCAGGTCACACCTCCGTGCATGGAAGAAGGACACCTTCCTCACCGGTGACAGGCTTTGATCCCTACCGAAAGTGAAATAGTACGCTTCTTCAAATTACTGGCCATCTGGAACAGTGTTGGACACAAAGGCACTCATTAAAAATATTCTAGAGAGCCTAGTGACTCACATATGTAAATCTTACATTTGGCAGGCTGAGATGGGTGAATTTTCGAGTTCAAGGCCAGCCTGGGTTATGTAGTAAATTCTAGGGCAGTCTAGGCTACATGGTGAGACCTTGTCGTTTTAAAATATGTTATGTCTTCCCATTAGTTAAGGTTCTATAATGCCCTAAATTGAAATTTAAATTATTTTTCAGTGACAAAGAATTACTTTCAGCACCGTGAATTTTCCTTCACACTAAAAGATGATATTTACATTCGTTACCAGTCCTTCAACAGCCAGAGCGATCTGGAGAAGGAGATGCAGAAAATGAATCCGTATAAGATCGATATAGGCGCTGTGTATTCTCACAGAGTAAGGGATCTTTTCTGTGTATTCTGTTTCATGATCCAGAGTGGGTTAGTACCACCCATTTTGAAGGTGATGTTTTAGAGTTTGTTATAGTTGATGAAATGATAACACTTTTTTTTACAAGTAAATTTTTTTTTTTGGTCAAGACAAGGTTTCTCTGTGTAGACCTGGCTGTCCTGGACTCACTTTGTAGACCAGGCTGGCCCTGAACATAAAAAAATCATCTGCCTGCTTCTGTCTCCCAGAGTGCTGGGATTAAAGGCATGCACCACTACCGCCTGGCTTCTACAAGTAAATTTTAATCTTGTTTTAACGCTCTGCTGGCTAAAAATCACTTGGCAATTAATAACTTGTCTTCTTATTAGTTAAAAAAAAAAAAAAGAAAGAAAGTTGAGCTTTGGCCTGGTTGATAAGAGTGCTTGCCTGGCACGCATGAATCCTTATCCCATTCCTGAGCACAATATCTGTAATCTGAGCATAAAGGAGGCAGAGGCCAGTCTGAAATACATAAGACCATATCTTTAAAAGGAAAAAGAAATTATTTCTGGTGTGGTGGCACCTTTAATCCCAGAGATAGGCAGGTTTCTGAGTTTAAGGCCAGCCTTGTCTACAGAGTGAGTTCCAGGACAGCCAGAGCTGCAAAGGAAGCCCTGTAGGGGTGGGCAAGATAATTTTAATTTGGTTGATTAAAAGCCAAAAATAAAATAAATTTATATTCAAAAACAATAAGCCTGAGGCTGAGGAGATAACCAGTTGGTAAAGTGCTTGAGGACCTGAGTTGGGAATCCCCAGCACCCCTGTAAAAAGTGCTCCAGACAGGGACAAAAATCCCTGGAGATGGCTGGCCAGCCAGACTACCTGAATGGGAACTCCGGGTTCAGGGAGAGACCCTTCCTCAATAAGATGGAGAGAGGCTGAAGAAAACAGGAGCCTCAACCTCTGGCATTCACACATGCACCCGCACACACGCACACAAGCACGTGCACACACACACACAACAAGTATAGACATTTTTGTTGAATTTCCCAGAAGAGACATAGATCGCAGTCATAGAACGTGTGTAGCCTGAGACCCTACATTTGATCAGTGTTGCACTGGGACATGGGAATCTAGTGCTGTTTGAATCACTTCCTAATGCCTAACACCTGGGAGCTCTTAGGATTTTCTGTCAGTTCCTTCTGGCCCTAGTTGTAAAATTGTACAACTGTATATCTTGGTATGTACCTTCTATTGTCTGTTCTGATAGATATTGAGGCACTCTCACAAAACCCATAGTCTTCTTTGTGGAGGGAGCTATGTTCTTTCTAAATATCCTGTCCTTATTCTTTCTATGTTAATTCTGAGGATATCAATGATGGTTTATTAGACTCTTTTCTTTTACAGTCTTAACCCCCACCCCCCACCTTATAATCTTCCTGCTTCTGCCTCCTGAGTTGTTGGAATTATAGGTGTGTACCAAAGCACCCAGCTGTGGATGTGATGTTTTTATTTTTAGGGACTTTGTAGATTTTGGTCAGAATAAAATCTCCCCTAGTATAGAGACCTTTGTTTAGTCACTGGTCTCTCCCTAGAGCGTAGAGCAGTACCCAGCACACCTGGTCAGATTCTTCTGTCAGGCAAAAGACTTAAGGAGAAAAGTTTCTGCCTGAGAGATAGTTCAGCAGGAGGAGAACTTACTTTGGACCTGAGTTTACTTAAAAGCTGGTCATATCTACACTGGTACCTATTGTGTGGGAGACAGGCAGGAGGATCACTGAGGCTTGTTGGCAATCAGGGACAGCTTGGGTTACATGAGACCCTGTCTCAAAACAACAAAGACTCATTGAGAAGATAATTTTTAATCTGTTGAAGGGATCTAAAATAAATATATATTTGTTATTTGTATGTATAGTAGCAAGGAAAGATTTGTTTGTTTGTTTTTTTAGATTTATTTATTGTTTATACAACATTCTGCTTGCACACCAGATCTTACTATAGATGGTTCTGAGCCACCATGTGGTTGACTGGGAATTGAACTCAGGACCTTCGGAAGAACAGGGAGTGTTCTTAACCTCTGAGCCATCTCCCAAGCCCCGCAAGGAAAGATTTGTAAACACCCTCTAGTGGGGAATTATTTGTATAGACATTTCCTTATTAGAAAACTTAAATAGCTTTCTTATTTCTATCAAACAACATATACTTATGGTGAATTCATTACGCCTTCTTGTAAGTAGATAAAAAATAAAACATTAATTCAGATTGTGTGAAAGTACTCAGAGGTCATAGCTGTGGCATTATCCAACTTGACTGACTCTTTTTCTGTGTGAATGGACAAGGCAGCTCTTACAGAAACTGATAGGTGTTTTGTATCGGCAGCCCAGTCAACACAACACGGTGAAGCTGGGAGCCTTCCAGGCTCAGGAAAAAGAGCTAGTCTTTGACATTGACATGACAGACTACGACGATGTGAGGAGATGCTGCAGGTAAGTCCCTTCAGGCTGGGGTGGGTCGCGTCACTGATGCCAAGTAACTATGGCTGTGTTCAGTTCTGCAGACATCTGTTCCAAGTGCTGGACACTCATGACGATGGCCGTGCGCATCATAGACCGAGCACTGAAGGGTATGTGTCAGAGGGTCCTTCGTCTCCATCTCCATGTTTCATTTCTAGGATTTTCCCCTGAGTCATAAGAGGAAAAAGGAAAGAGGAAAATTTGCATTGAAAGCATTAATGCGGCTGTTGAGCAAGCCAGTATGTGTTTCCCGAGTCCAGTCTGCTGTGTGCTAGGTGCTATTCTCCATAAGAGAAATGAAAAAATAAAAAGAATAGTCTTTTAACCCATGCTGGTTTTAAGCTTGCTGTATTGCCAAGGGTGACCTTGAACTTCTGTTTCTTCTACCTGGATCCCCTCAAATCTCAGGACCTCTGAATTGGGTCCCAGCAGCTGTGTAGATTGGTTCATGGCTCACAGCTGCCTCTAATTCTACTAAGGGCTACTCAGGGATCCAGTACGGTCCTTCTGGCCTATGCAAGCATTGTCAGGCACACAGACATACACTCGTACATATGTCAATATTAATGAAAATAAGTCAAGGAAGAAATGAAGAAAGGCAGGAGCTCAGGACACAGCAGGCTACAGGTCAGTCAGTATGGTGGACATGAGAAAGGTGCTACAAGCAAGAACGCCTGAGTTTGGATATCTAGCACCTGTGTAAAGGCCAAGCATGGTGGCCACACCTCAAACACAGGGAAGGGGAGCCGGGAGGATTCCAGAGGCTGCTGTGCCAGCCTGTCTGTGAATCAGTGAGACCTCAGAAAATAAGGTGGACAGCAGTAAAGGAAGACAGCTACTGTCAAGCTCTGAACTCACATGCACAGCCTTGTGTCATAAACACAAATTAAAAATACAACATGAATTGTGTTGGTAATTTGATGGGAATTGAATTGAATCAGTAGATTGCTTTTGGTAAGATGGGGGAGAGAGGGTGGGACCAGGAGGGGAGGTGGGAGGGGCTTTTGGGGGGGATACAAAGTGAATAAATTTTAATTAAAAAAAAAATTGATAAATAAAATACGGTACTATTGATTAAAACAACATGAGTCGGGTCAGATGGCACACACCTGTAATCCCAGCATTTGGGAGGCAAAGGGAGTCAGATCTCTGCAAGTTCGAGGCCACCCTGGTCTACAAAGCAAGTCCAGGACAGCCAAGGCTATACAGAAAAACCCTGTCTCAAAAAACCAAAACCATCCTTGTCTTAAAATATCCCGCCCCCCTACCAGGGAGTGGACAGTGAGAGCACTTGTGAAAGCATAAGAAATGAGTGAGCAAAGACTGTGTTATAGAATTGTCCTAAAATGTCCTATTTCTGTCCCTCCTCAGAGGACTTTGGGTTTAAGCACCGCCTCTGGGTGTATTCAGGAAGGAGAGGCGTACATTGCTGGGTCTGTGATGACTCCGTCCGAAAGTTGTCCTCTGCTGTACGCTCTGGGATAGTAGAGTACTTGAGTCTTGTAAAGGTAAGGTTTCTTAACAGTTGCCATGTCTTTCTCTAGTAGGTATTACCCAGCTTAGAACTTTCAAAATCACAGAAAATTATCTTTTATAGCATTTATATCTTAAAGTCCAATGATTACTTAAAGTAAAGTCATCGTTGCTACTTTTTTGTTTTATTTTTGGGTGTTTTGAGACAGGGTTTCTCTGTGTAGCCTTGGCTGTCCTGGACTCACTCTGTAGACCAGGCTGGCCTCAAACTCACAGAGATCCACCTGCCTCTGCCTCTCCAAGTGCTGGGATTACAGACATGCGCCACCATGGCCAGCTTATGGTAACTACTTTTTAAAAGATACTTTACAAACACACGCACACATGAACAGCTAAGATAACATTGCAGGAGAGAAAATGGAAAAACTGAGCCAGAGGCTGGGAAGATGTATATCAATAAGATGTCTTCTGGACATGCCCAAGCTGTTGCACCCGTGAGCTCACTACAGCTGTGAAAGCCTTCATGTGATTAGGGTCCATCAACAGTTCGTTTCCCATGGATGGAAGACGGGATCCCCTGAGGCCCCTCTCCTTCCTTTGAAGCTACTGGGCGTAGGGTGTGTCATTTTCATCAGTGAAACCCATCCAATCATTTGCACAAAGACCTGAAAGTGGGAGGAAGACCGGTTGGAAAAAGGGTTCCAGTGTGTGTGGGGGTGACAGAGAGGAATGAGGGTTGGCTAACATAACTAAAATTCATTGTATAAATAATGAAAACAGCATCTCAAGCCCATAATTCTAGCACTTGGAGGACTGAGGCAGGAAGACGGCTGTGAATTTCAGGTCAGCCTGTGGCTAAAGAATGAGACCCTGTCTTCAAAAGCAGCAGCAACAACAAAAGAAGATAGTAAATATCTTGTTGCTAAGTATCCTTCTTTGTAGCAAAAGGAAAAATAATTTGCTTTTCTAGATTATCTTGTCAAAGAAAGTTGGAGGTATTGAGATGCTGGGTTGCAGAGGTGGCTCAGTGGTTAAAAGTGCTCACTGCTCTTACAGAGGACCCAGTTCCCGGGGATCGGACTCTGCCTGACAGCATTTTCGGCTACACTTTTGGAGTGCACATACATGTACTTAGACACACACATTCACAAAAAATAAAATAACTCTTTAAGTAATAAAATAGCGTCCAAGTTTCTATACTTAAGAATTTAGCCACTATCTGTGGTTTTATATAGTTTTAAATAGAATAATAGAATCTATTAAAGATGTTTTTTAAATAACTTAATTTATGCTTTATAATATACTTAAAATTCTTTTTTGGTGGTTTGTTTTTCAGGGTGGTCAAGATGTTAAAAAGAAAGTTCATCTAAGTGAAAAACTTCACCCCTTTGTCAGGTCTGTCGGGAAAGAACCCCCCTGAGGTTCTTAAGTCTCCTACGTGTGTGTGTGTGTGTGTTTGTGTGTGTGTGTGTGTGTGTATAGGAGTCTCTTGCTGCCAGTTTTCACCTCTGAGTCCTGTTTTTGTAACAGTTTTCTGTGACCTTCAGGACTTCTTAAAGATAAGAAAAGTGGGTTTGGGCCTGGAGAGTTGGCTCAGTGGTTAAGGTACTGAATGCTCCTCCAGAGGGTTCAAATCCCAGTACCCACATGGCAGCTCACAACTGTTTGTAACTTTCACATAGACATACATGCAGACAAAACACAGAGTACATGAAACAAAGGTAAGTTAAAAAAAAAGTTGGTTTTAGAGAATTACATGATTTACTTAATGTCACACAAGTAGTTGTCAACAAGTAGACTGCAGGCCCTCGTCTGCTTAGTCCTCACACCTGTGCTGGTTCTGCCCTGTTCTGCCCAGTGATGGAGGCACAACTTATGTGAGTCACAGATAGGGAGGACTATGTCTGCTGCGCTTGACTCCAGAGTTGTGGCAAAGACAAATGCAATCCACCCATAGGGCCTCTCTGTGTAGCCTTGGCTTTCCCAGAACTCACTCTGTAGGCCTCGAATTCACATGTGCCATCACTGCTTAGCTGTTGCCATATTTTATTTTGTTTTTAAGACAGGGTCTCTGTTGCTCTGGCTGTCCTGGAACTCACTATGTAGACCAGGTTTACCTCTGTAGAGATTCTCTTGCCCCTGACTTGTGGCCGCTGGGATTAAAGGTATGTGCTACTGTGTCAAGCAGCTGTTGTGATTTTAAAACAAGAAAACTAGATCCTACATGCTAATACTGATAAGCTGTCCTCATTTTGGTTATTAGTACTACTGTTGCATGTTCTATGATTTTAGTAACCTTATAGATAATAGGATTTAAGAAGTAATCATTTTGGCCAGGCATAGTGGCACAAGCCTTTATTTAATCCCAGCACTGGGGAGGCAGATGCTGGCAGATCTTTACAGAGGCCAGCCTGGTCTCCAGAGTGAGTTCCAGGCCATCCAGAGTTACACATTGAGACGTTAAAATTAAAAAAAAAAAATTTAAAGAAGCAAACATATCCCCAATAACTCCCTATCCTGTGACAGATGCATGCCAGGCTCTTTCCCTTTTAAGAGTCTAGTTTTAACACAGTTAAGTAACACAAGTGTCTCATTCCACTTACCTGGTTCTAGAAATCCAGAGAGAATTAGCAGTGCCTTCACCCAGTAAGAGTGACTGTTGTTAATGCTTTGGGACTTTGTTACTTTTATTTCTACAGAAGATCTATAAACATAATTAAAAAGTACTTTGAAGAATATGCTTTAATTGGCCAAGATATTCTTGAAAATAAAGAAAACTGGGATAAGATTTTAGCCCTTGTTCCTGAGAATATCCTTTCTTGTGGTTACTTTGTGAGTCATTGTGTTAGTCTGTGACATGACAGGCGTGTGCTGTTTGCATGGTCTCATATGTTCCGAGATGTTTAGTTTTTTGTTTTACACAGTTATCTCTTACACTTCTACACTTTTGTATCACTGGGCAACAGTAAGAAATGGGACTATTTTGTACAATAGTTTTCTCATTTTATAAATTTTTCCTAGAATCAGTGGTTGAAGGATGAGGACTCATTTTGTCTGGATGTGTACAAGACCTGGGAAGACTTCGTGATGTTCTAATAGCTTATGACTGTTTTAGTAGTCTTTCTGTCACGTCATTACTGCAGTTTTACAAACGAATTTTTAATCCTGTAAGTGCCTAGTGTCTATGTTTAGGAACCATTAATAGCTTCTGAAAGTGAAGCTTCAACATCCTTGTACAGATGTATTTGTTGAGTTATCCCTAATGAGTATGTTCCTTAATGATGCATCACCAATTCACGAGGAGCTTCAAAGAGGCTTTCAGAAGTTTCACAGTTCCTCTCAGCGCTGGGAGCACTTGAAGAAAGTGGTCAGCACATCTCAGGTACACGCCGCCATTGGAATCTCTTTTTACCAATACCAAAATACAATTCCTCATTAAGTTATGACTGTTTTTGCTTGGTCCTTTAAAGACGGTTGAAAAGGGTCTCTCTTTTTAACCGTCTTTGGAATTCCTTCTGATCCTCATTGTGGCCTCACATCTGCTTTTAGAATTTGAAGAATGATAAATGTGGTCCCTGGCTGGAGTGGGAGATTATGCTCCAGTACTGTTTTCCACGCCTGGATATCAACGTTAGCAAAGGAATCAATCATTTACTGAAGAGCCCTTTTAGCGTTCATCCTAAAACAGGTACAATGTAAAGAAAGTAAAGAAAACTAAAGGAAAAACATTTGTTTTGAGAAAGGGTCTCGCTATGTATCCCTGGCTAGCATGGGACTCACTGTGTAAACCAAGCCTCACTCACAGAGATTCGACTGCCCCAGCCTCCAAGTGCTAGGATTAAAGGCATGTGCCACCACGCCTGGCCCATTATTTTTTGTGTTGGCAAGGATGCCATTAGTTGTGAACACATATGTCTGTGAAGTTAAAGGTTGAAGAGTAGACTTGTTGGCTAGTATCTACATACTTTCCCATAAACTGTGTGATGATACAGGCCTTTATTCCCACTAATTAGGAGATGGATGAAGGAGGGTCAGCCGTTAAAAGCCATCATCAGCAACATGGAGTTTGAGACAGTCTGGGTTATATAAGAGTCCTGTCTCAAAAAAAAAAAAAAAAAAAACTATTAGGAAAAAACAAACTGAAGCCTACAACCTACAAACTGAAAGCCTACAGTTTTTATATATCTGTAATCCCAGGATTCAGCAAGAGAATGAGAAATCTAGGAGGTAGACAATGGAGGATCATTCATGGCTACATCACAAGTTCCGGGCCAGCCAGCACTCCATAGTGGGACCCCATTTCAAAAGAAATCAGTGCTCAGCTCCTAGATAAGGATTTTAATATTTATTTATTATTTATACAGTATTCTGTAGTGCATATATGCCTACATGTCAGAAGAGGGCACCAGATCTCATTATAGATGGTTGTGAGCCATCATGTGGTTGCTGGGAATTGAACTCAGAACCTTTGGAAGAGCAGACAGTGCTCTTAACCTCTGAGCCATCTCTCCAGGCCCCTAGCTAAGGATTTTATGTATTGTCCCAGGTAGATTTATAAGATAATGTTGCCAAAGGTCATGAATCACTTGGGAACATAGATACCTTTAGAGAAATATAATATCATTTACTTTATTATTGAACAAACATCACAGTATATTTTTGTACAAACTAAGGTGCTTATTGTTGGACAATAGCTTATGATATCACTATGATCTGTGCAGCCCATCAACTGACCAGAATATCATGGCCACCTGAGTGTATATTTCCAGAATGCCTTGTACAGATATCTGGTGTGGGATTGGCTCAGAAGGTAAAATGCACTTGCCACCAAGCTTGATAACCTAAATTCGATTTTTAGACCCACATGGTTGACGGAGAGAACCACTTCCTACAAGTTGTCCTGATTCACATACACACATATAAATAAATGTGTGTGGTTTTTTTTTTTTTTTAATTTTCTAAAAAAACAAGATATATAGGAGCTGGAGAAATGGCTCAGTGGTTAAGGACACGCACTGCTCTTCCAGAGGACCTGAGTTTGAATCGTAACACCCACTCACGTGGCTCACAACTTCCTATAACCCCAGCTCCAAGGGGACCTGATGCCTCTGCAGGCACCTGCTCTCACATACACAGAACACACACATAATTAAAAATAAAAATCAACTTAAGATGTCTGTTGTAGTCAAGTGTAGTGATGCATAACTGCTATCTCAGCACTTGGAGGTTCATAAGTTCAAGACCAACCTGGGTTACATAGTGAGACCTTAGTGTCTCATGCATATAAAATCCATCCAGTACTCAGGCAGACAGGAAGATTGTTGCAAGTTCAAAGCCAGCTTTCTCTGCATAGCTGTGACTTCAAGGACAGCTAAGGCTGTATAAAGAGACCTGGTCTCCAAAAACTGCATTTAAAAGCTGTTATAATAGCAGAGACTTTGGGAAAAAAAATTGTGTTGTGTGTGTGGGGTGTGTGGAGGGGAGGGGGTGCAGTGTATGTGTGGTATGTGTGGGGGTGTGTGATGTAGGGTGTGTCCAGGAGTGTATGTGCATATGTGATGCTAAGGATTGAATCCAGGACCTCACTCATGCAGGTCCCCGGCACTTTGTAAAATTTTAACCAAAAATAATTCAGAGACACAGCAACCTACAATCAAGCATTTATAACTTCTGGTTCTTACAGGTCGCATTTCTGTGCCTATTGATTTTCAGAAAGTAGATCAGTTTGATCCATTTGCTGTTCCAACGATAAGGTGTGTTCGAGATCACTGCTATTTGTGACTGTTTTTCTGAAATTTCAGTAGACTATACTCAATCCCTGAGTAGAGATGTAGTGGCACATACCATGATCTAGAGGCAGAGGCAGGGGGATCACAGGTTCTAGGTCTGGGAATGGGGTTGGAGCTTAGTTGGTGGGGTACGTAAGAGCAGGAGTTTTAGAATACACCTGTAATCTTGTGCCTCGGGGAAATGGAGGTAAAACAATCAGGAGTTCAAGGTCATCCTCGTATATAAAGTTTGAGGCCGCCCTGGACTTCATGAAGGGCTTGAGGAGTGCCAGAGCACTTGCCAGGTGTGTGGAAGGCCCTGACTGCAACTTTACTGCATCTCCCAGTCCTTTCTATCATATGAAAAACTGAGATTGTTCTGCCTCAGATTTATCTGTCAGGTTGTTTGTTTGCTGTTCGATGCCAGAAGTGGTACCCAGGGCCTTTTACATGCTAAGACAACTGCTCTCCTGCTAAGCTACATCTTAGGCTCATGGGCCTTTTACATGCTAAGATAAGTGCTCTCCCACTAAGCTACTCCTCAGGCATGTGGGCTTTTTAGATGCTACAACAACCGCTCTCCCACTAAGCTACATTCTATTACGTGTAGTGCCATCTGCCAAGAATTGGATGTCGCTTCCACTAATGAAAAGGAAAATGAGGAGAATGAAGCGGAATCTGATGGCAAACGTAGAGTCAGAGGTAAGTGGATGTGCTGAAGCCAAACTTTCACACAGCTTTTACCTGTCTGTACACGTGTACAGACCATTCAGCATCAGGCCACCCTGGGTCATCCTTTATCCTGAAACCAGCTCCACAATAAATGCCATCAATGCTGTTACAGCTCTGCCCTCTTGTTTGAGGAATGCTTTCTCATCTCTAGTTAGATATCTTCCTAAACACTGTGTTTTCTGGTTTTGGAGTTGTCGAGAATGGGATATTTGGGGCTGGAGAGAAGGCTTAGAGGTTAGGAGCACTGGCTGTTCTTTCCTTTTTTTTTTTTTAAATTTAATTTAATTTTATTAATTACACTTTATTCACTTTGTATCCCCCCATAAGTCCCTCCCTTCTCCTCTCTTGGTCCCCCCTCCCCCTTCTTGGCTGTTCTTTCAAGGGACCTGGTTTTAATTCCCAGCACCCACATGCAGCTCACAGCTTTCTGTGATTCCAATTCTAGGGGACTTGACAACCTCACACAGACATGCATGCAGGCAAAACACCAATGCGCTAAAAGTTAAAAGTATTTTTAAAAAGTTAAATGTGATCTTTTCCTGAGAATACATTATTGGCAAGTTTTCTAGTATATTCTTAGAGTCTTTAAAAAAATCATGTCATCTGTAAATACAGATAGTGTGACTTGACTTCCCCCTTTCCTATTTTTCTCCCTCTTAGGTCTGTATTTTATAAGTGCTAGAGCTAAGACTTGGAGCACTGTATCACATAAAGGATTGGGGAGGGCTGGAGAGATGGCTCAGCAGTTAAGAGAGCGTGCTGCTCTTGCACAGGACCTAGGTTCAGTTTCCAGTCCCACATTGTAACTCACATTCCAGAGGCTCCAGTGCCCTTTTCTGGTTGCATGCATGTAGCACACAGACATACATGCAGGTAAACACTCATACACATGAAATAAAAATAAAGACTAAAAGGATTAGAAGGAAATACAAGGGGAAGGTGGGCATTTTTGTTCTTGATCTTAGAGGAAGTGTTCTTGGTCTGTCTCAGTTTAATATGATGTTGGCTAAAGGTTTGTTGTATATAACTTTATTTTGAGGTATGTCCCAACTATTCCTAAAGTCTCCAGAACTCTTCTCCTGAAGGCATGTTGAATTTGTCAAATGCCTTTTCAGCATCGATAGAAATGCTTCTGTGGTTTTTGTCCTGTTTACTTATATGATATATTACATTTATTGATATACATATGTAGAACCAACCTTGCCTCTGGCACGAAGCCCACTTCTCCATAGTGTATAATCTTAATGTCTTCCTGAATTCAGTTTTCAAGTATTTTGTTGAGAATTTTTACCTCTGTGCTCGTCAAAGAAATGGTTTTATAGTTTCTTTTTGTTGTTGAGTCTTTCCTGGTTTTGCTACCAGGATAATATTGGCTTCATAAAATGGATCTGGTTGTGTTCCTTCCTTTTCTGTTTGTGGAACAAGTTTTTTAAAAATTTGAGATCTTCCTTGAAAGTTGAATATGTCAGGCATTGAGGTCCACCCCTTTAATCCTAGCACTTGGGAGGCAGAGGCAGGAGAGTCTCTGTGAGTTCTAGGCTAGCCTGGTCTACGGAGTGAGTTCTAAGATAGTCAGGACTACATAGAGAAACCCTGTCTGCCTCAAAAGCCTGGGGGAGGGCAGGCGACACAGCAGTGGCTTTGTCCAGCTTCCATCTCATGGTGGCTCTGTTTAATCTGTTTAAGGTTATTTATGTCTTCTGGACTTAGTTTTGGTGATGATATGCATTTTGAAATCCTTCTATTTCTTCGAACTATCCAGTTTTTTACAGTTTTCATAGTAATCTCCACTAATACTCTTCATTTCACTGGAATCTGTTGGATGACACCTATTGTTCTCTGACTAGTTCATTTGTATCTCCTCCCTCTTTTTGTTGAGTTGGCTAAGGGTTTGTCAATCTTACTTTTTTAAAGAACCAACTCTGTTTGGTTGTTTTAAAATACTCATGTTCTTTCTGCCAACATGCTTATTCTAATGTACATATTTTATAATTTAGATTATAAGAAGACCAGTCTAGCACCGTATGTAAAAGTATTTGAACAGTTTCTTGAAAACCTGGATAAATCCCGGAAAGGGGAACTTCTCAAGAAGAGCGGTAAGACTGTGTTTTTGTCTAGTAGTATCTTAGTCTAAATAGTTTAAGGCTCCTATAAAATGAGCAACTCTTTATTTCTAGTCTTGATTCATTATAACCGTAGTGGGGTGTTTCATGTTGTTTTACGTTTTTAGAGGGGTGTGTGTGTGTGTGTGTGTGTGTGTGTGTGTGTGTGTGTGTGTATCTACATGTGTGCATGTGGACATATGGCACCTGCAGAGATCAGATGACTACATGCAGGAGTTACTTCTGTCTTTCTACCATGTGGCCCTGGGGGACTGAACTAGGGTTGTCAAGCTTGGCAACAAGCAAAATGTCTTGCAAATTCTTCCTCTTCCTTAATTTTTGTTTGTTTGCTTTTAATAAAAGTTTATTGCTTCAGCACATGCACAGATCTGTAATCCCAGGAGGTAAGACAGGATGATCAGGAGTTCAAGGCCAGCCTGGGCTAAATGACACCCTCCCTCAAAAATAACCAAAAGTTATTATTTAAAAAAAAAAAAAATGATAGCTTCTTAATCCAACAGTTATTAAACACATTCTCTGTTGGATAATATGACATAAAAAAGATGGATTCTACACCATCGGTCCATGTCTATAAGTAGTAACTTGGAACTAGACATAGTGGGTCATAGAAGGCTGAGACAGGAGGATTGCCTGAGACAGGAGGATTGCCATAAATTAAAGGACAACCTAGGACATAGTTCTAGGCTAGCTTGAGGTTTAGTACAAGACCCTGTCTCAAAAAAGTACTAATTTTATACCAAGAAGTACAGTCCAAATGATCAGAAATCTCTGAATCTGGCCTGTAATGTGAAAGGGATGGTTCTTTAACTTCTTTAGCCAGGCTGTGGTGGCGCACACCTTTAATCCCAGAGCTTGGGAAGACAAGGCAGGCAGATCTCAAAGTTTGAGGCCTGTCTGTTTTACAGAGTAAGTTCCAGGACAGCCAGGTTAGAGAATCCCTGTCTGGAGAAGGTGGTGTTTAATCTCAGCATGTAGAATGATACACACTTCTAATCTCAGAGAGATGGAGACAAGGCGATCCTAAGTTCAAGGCCAGCCTACAGTAAATAGTGAGACCTTGTCTCCAAAAAAAAAAAAAAAAAAAAAAAAACAATTCTAATTCTCAGTGTCAATATGCTCTTTAGTTATACAGAAGTAAGGATTTTCAGAAGCAGAGACAGAGTGAGGATTTTCATAAAAGCACAGCATTGGAAAAGGGAGAAATACAGTTTTTCCTTTCTATAGATCCAGGCCTTGTATATATATGCCAAGCAAATATTCTACTACTGAGCTACATCTGAGCCCAGAGTTGTCTATTCCTGAAGGAACAGAACAAGCAATGGCAGAGGCAGGGAACTAGGATACACTTTCTAGTTATCAAATTGTATAGGCAATGGGGAAGAGGTGTCAGAAAATGAGAGGGCATATCTGAGGAAGCTTACAGGCAAAGTGCCCAGGTCTGAGCAGCAACAGGAACAGTAAGGATTTTTATGGAAGAAGAAGCCTTGCTTTGTCCTCTTACTAAAGCAAAGCTGGGGTTAGTCATGGAGCTCTGTTGGTAGAGTCCTTGTCTAGCATGAATGAGACCTGGGTTCACTGCACAACACCATATACACTTCTAATCCTAGTATATCAGAGGTGCAAGCAGGAGGATCACAAGTTCAGGGCCGGCCAGATGGCTCGGCAGGTAAAAGTGCTTGCCACCAAGCCTGCAACCTGAGTTCAGTCGCCAGAACTCACATGGTAGAAGGGAAGAACCACATTTGCAAGCTGTCCTCTGACCCCCACGTGTTCTCTGTCCCTGCCGTTTCCTTGCCACACTAAACAAATACATCAGTGTGAAATGTCTTAGTGGGAGAGGCTAGAGTGCCATCTCAGCAGTTGAGAATCTGTACTGCTTTTCCAGTACCATTCCCAGCACCCACACTGGGCAGCTCACAACCATTTGCAACTCCAGTTCTAGGGGACCCAATGCCTTCTCCTAGCCTCTGAGGGTACTTGAACATAAGTGTGCATACATACATAGACAAGCATACACATAATTTTAAAATAAAGTATTACAACAACAAATTTAATATCACCCTCAACTCCATAAGGAGCTCAAGACTAGCCTGGGCTACATGAGACCCTACCACAAAAAAAAACAAAAAGGCAAGTTGGGGGAAATAATAAGGATTGAAAAAAACTCAAGAGGCCAGTTGGGCCATTAGTGCAGTAGCACTGGAAATCAACAGGTACAGATACTCAACAGTCTTTGAGATTTGGTGATTTAGGGGTATAAGGGTGTTGCTTTGGATTTTTGTTTGTTTCTTTCTTTTGTTTTGTTTTTGAGACAGACTCTGGCAGACCTGAAATTCACTATGTGGCCCTGTCTGGCGTTGAACTTGGGGTAATCCTTCTGCCTTGGCCTCCTGTGTGCTAGAATCACAGGTGTAAGTCATTATTGCCAGCTTAAACTTGGTATCTGTTTGAAGTGGAGAGGTGAATGATAGCAGGTGTGGGAGTGTGCTCTGGAATCCCAGCACTCAGAAGGCTGGGACACAACAGAGGGTTTGATGACAGGCTAGTCTATATAGTAAAATTCTATCTAAAAAAGAAATGAGAGCTGGAGAAATGGATGCATTGGCCGCTCTAGCAGGGCACCTGGGTTCAATTCCCAGCATCCACACAGTGGCTCACAACCATCTGTACTCCAATCCCAGAGGATCTGGCGGCCTCTTCTGGTTTCCATGGGCACTGCCTGTATGTGGTGCACAAACATACATGAAGGCAAAACACACACACATAAAATAAAAATAAGTAAATGTTTTAAAAAGAAAAAATTAAAAAAAAAGATGGAAAGGGGAGGCAATTGTCATAGTTTCAGGGAGATGATAAAATGTTAAATGCAGGAGAGAACTGATAAGGCCCTATTAGGGGTCAATACCAAAGGAGGTGATGCCAAATGACGACTTCTGGCTGAGAGAGGCCTCATCGTGTGGAGACTCAAAGCAAACTCAGCGGGCGATGCTTTATTTGCAGTGTATTTCTCTTATGGAAATTATTTTCTTTAAAGAACAGTTAAAAGTGAGTCTTGAAATTTTTTAAAGATTGGAGATTTATGTTTTATTTGCTTCCTGCAAAATATTTGTCTTACCAGTAACAAAGCTGAAAAATTCTTTCTCTTCATGAATTTTCTTCTTAGAAACATTCTCAAGTTACTACAGAGTGAGCAGTTTTCAAAATAACTGAGATACCCTAGAAAGTAGCAGCAATGTTACAGAAACATCAACACCATTCCCACTTCAGTTTAGCATAATCTGTGTTGGAGTCCAAAGTGCCTAAGACAGTATTTTGCTCATAGTGAACAGTTTTCAGATATGTCTTTATTTGATGAACTTTAAAATACCTCATCATTGCCCCTATTCAAAGTAGTTCTTTCTTTTTAAACATTTAGAGAGAGAGAGAGAGAGAGAGAGAGAGAGAGTGTGTGTGTGTGTGTCCTTCCACCCACGTAGGTCTTGGGGATTGAACCCAGATCTTCAGGCTTGGCAGCAAGCACTCTTATCCACTGAGCCATCTTGCCAACCAAGTCCTTTGTATTGTCATTCTGTACTGGACCAGTGGATAATGTGGGCTTCAGCAAGTGTGAAACAAATCTTTATATGTGTGTGAATTTAATACAAACATTAAACAAATCAGAATATGTAAATAAAAGGCTTTACTTTCCTTTACTAATTCTTTAAATAAAAAATATTTTTAGGGACTGGAGAGATGGCTCGGTGGTTAAGAGCACCGGCTGTTCTTCCAGAGGTCTTGAGTTCAATTCCCATCACCCACATGGTGGCTCAAAACCATTTATAATGTGATCTAGTGCCCTCTTCTTGCCTGCAGAGGTACATGCAGGTAGAGCACTGTATACATAATAAATAAATCTTTAAAAAAATTAGTTTAAAATTCTTGTTTCCTATTTTGTTTTAGATTTACAAAAAGATTTCTGAAGAGAACAACTCCCATCAAAATAATGTGGTGGATGGTGGTGATGCATGCCTTTAATATCAGCACCCAGGAGGCAGAGGCAGGTGGATCTCTGAGTTCAAGGCCAGCCTGGTCTACAAAGTGAGTCTAGGACAGTCAAGGCTGTCTCAAAAAAAAAAAAAAAACAAATAAAAAAATCAATCTGAATGCCTTCCACTTTCAACCAAATACTTTAAGAGCCATTTAATCAATACAGAAGAATCATCTATATGCCTTAATCTTTAAAGCAGAATTTCCTTTTTTCAAAAAATAATTTATGTTGAAGATTTCCTGAGACCAAAGAAGGTTGGTGTTAAGGATCCTGAAACAAATGAATCAAGGAATAAGTATACTGAGAAGGTTTGTAAAATTTAATATAAAATGTTAATTCTTACGTGTCTGATATGACCAGTTCTATCAGCTACTGTGTATAGAGGCATCTGTTAGCACTGATTTCCCCAAAACTTTTGTTTCAGTATATTGTATTCTGCCTTCACCTCCATAAGTTTATATAAATGCTGACTTTGTCCTTCAGTCTTATAAGTTAGTTGTGGCTCATCCTGTAATTCCAGCACTTCAAAGACTGAGGCAGAAGGGTTGGCACAAGTTCAGGGCCAGCCTAGGCTACTCCACAGCCCACTTGTAATAGTCAGGGTTCTTTAAAGGAGGACACACATGCAAGTGAAGGAATGCACCTGCCAGTGAGAGGGAGGAACTTCCTCCTTCCCTGTCCTGTATACATGCTGCCATCAGAAGGTGTGGCTCAGATTTAAGGTGCATCTTCCCACTTCAAAATATCCGCATTTACGGTGGGCCTTCTACCCCAGTGTAAATCATTAAATCAATGATTTAGTTAAGAATGTCCCTCACAGTTGTGCCCAGCTGCTTGGATTTTAGTTAATTCCAGATGTAGTCAAGTTGACAGCCAAAAATAACCATCACACCACAGCTCAGTTTTGGGGACTTGGGGGTTTTGTTTTTAACTGTTTGTCTATTTGTTGTTTTTGAGAGAAAGGGTCAATACTAGACCAAGCTGGCCTAGAACCTGTGACAGTTCAAATGTGTCAGCCTTCTGGATGCTAGGATTATAAGCTTTAACCACTACACCCAGTTTTTATTTTTTATTTATTAATGTTTTTAGTTAACATATAAAATAATGAGTTTCATAGTAACATTTTCTTTTTCTTTTTATTGTGACATTTCATACATACATTTATAGCATTATACTTTTTTTCATTACCCCTTTCTTTCTGCCAAATAGCCCTCCCTTTGATTTTCATGTCACATATATTCTTTTGTTCTCTTGTTCCTCTTTAAAATTATTTAAATGGATAACTAAACCTACCAAAATTTTCAAAGATGAATTTTAGGGTTTAATAGAATGTTCTTTTTCAAGTATTTTCAGTTTTAGTTCCCTTTTCCCTCAGAAACTGGATGAGTTCACCACAAAGAAGCAGCTTAAAAAATGTAACCAACTAGGGGCTAGGAAGATGTCTCAGTGGTTAAGATGGCTCAGCGCTCTTCCAGAGGTCCTGAGTTCAATTCCCAGCAACCACATGGTGGTTCACAACCATCTGTACTAGGATCTGATGCCCTTTTCTGGCAAGTAGGCATACATGCAGGCAGAGCACCCTACATAAATCTTTAAAAAAAAAAAAAATATATATATATATGTATACACACACACACAAATATATGTGTGTATATATATATATATATATATATATATATATATATATATGTATATATATATATATAAAACCAACTTAACCAAAACAAATGATCTGTTTTAACTGTTTTAACGGGTGAAGACATAATGGCACAGGCCTTTTGTCCCGGTACACATAAAACAGGGCAGGCAGACCTCTGAATTTGAGGCAGCCTGGTCTACATAACTAGTTTCAGGCCAGCAGAGTTAAGAGTTACATTGTAAAGACCTTGTCTCAAAAAATGTGTGTGTGTGTGTTTGTCAAAACTTCGAACTCCTCACTGTCTCTTCAAGAAACAAAGTATCAAAAGCCATTTTGCAAAATTTCTTATTATTTAAGTTTCTGTATACTATGGATTATTTACTCTTCCGCTTCTACAAAATAGTGGGTCAAATAAAAGTTCTATAATATCGAATTATAATTATGTAATTTTATTTTAATAGTTCTTGGGGCTGCAGACATAGCTCAAAGCTTCTGGCTTCCTGGGCATTGCACAGACATGGTGCACAGACATACATTCAGGCAAAGCACCCAAAAATAAACAATGAAATATTGAAAATAAAAATAATTACTAAAGACTCATTAGGGCTTTTAGGGGAGGGATGGTGTTGACATAGGACTTCTTTCTCTGTGTACTCATGGCTGTCCTAGAACTCATTTTGTAGACCCAGACTGGCCTCCAACTCAGATTTTTTATTTAAAGTAATACTTGTATAGCTCTTCAACAGAACACCCAAAAGACTATTGATTTCCCTTTTCCCTCGCTTGGCAAGACACCGATAGTTACAGTTTGCATGGGAACAAGCTGTGTGTTGTGCACACAGCTTGACAAAGGGGATGAAGGACTGTCACACAAGCATAAAGACTAGTTTGGATCTCTAGAACCATATAAAGTTGGATTCAGTAGATTGAATCTGTGGTTCTAGCAGCTAAGGAGAGATGAATGGTAACCAGGAAAATCCCAGAACCTCAAGGGCCAGCTAGTCTGATACAGGTGAGGAAAAGACCCTGACTGAACGTTAAAAATGGCTTGACCTTTGACCCTCATGTTTGTGTGCATACACACAATAAATCTCCTAGGCTAGACTTACCAACAGAGTTAGAAATAGTCCACAAGCCACTGTAGCCTGACCACAGTCCTGGCTGGAGGAATTGGCATCTACTCATCTATTCTGTATACCAGGAAGGCCCTGTCCAACAGGAAGTACTCAGTTGCTAAATCCAAGGTCGATTTGAGAAAAGAAACTTAAGCCAGGAGTGGTGGTGCACGCCTTTAATTCCAGCACTCAGGAGCCTGAGGCAGGCCTGAGAGTTCCAGGACAGCCTGCTCTACAGAGAGAGTTCAGGCCATGTAGGGCTACACAGAGAAACCCTGTGTCCAAAAACTCGAAAAAGAAAGGAAGAAATGAAACTTCAGTCTGTAAGGAAGCTGCACTTCCACATCACTCTATTCCCCTTCCCTCAAGGTTGGTTTGTTTTTTCAGAAGAATGGAGTACTTCAAATTAGTTACTGTAGCTAGGAGACTTTTCCTCAAGAGATTGAGCCCTGCTGCTCAAACTGACCCAGCCTCCCAGGAGATGTGGTCAGATGACCCCAGTTCCCTGTAACCAGTGCCTGGGTTAGCGACAGTGTTAATGTTAAGAAACAGCCCTGCATGTGTTACCTGTTGTCGTCCTAGCAGTACCCCAAAGCAGTAACTACTATCTCCATCTTCCAGATGGAGGCAGAAATAGGCTAGATAGCCTAAATGATCCAGATGAGATTTAAAGAAGATTGTATAATGGCTTTTATGGGGTGGAGGGTTGGTCTTATTTAGCCCAGGCTGGCCTCAAACTCTCTAATGTAGTCAAAGATGACCTTGAACTGAAGCCCATGCCTCTATTTCCCATGTCCTGGCATTGTAAGCTCTCTCGTCATGCCTGGTTTTAGGCCTAGGCATCAAACTGGGCCTTCACACACACTGCCAAAGTATTAACAACTGTTGGTAGTTCGTAGGCACTCCCTTTGATATGAGGGAGATTTCAGAATTTCCCAATCCTTGTAAAAGTCTGCTACTGCAATTAATCCTGACTTGCTCATCCTCATTCTCACTCATTATACTCAAATGCTCAAAACATTTTTTTCCCTTTCATTTCTGTCTTAGGAGCTTGGGTGTTTTTCCTGCCTATGCATTACATGTAATGCCCCCAGAGCCCAGAAGAGGGCTTTGAGTTTCCCGGGAGTTGTGGTTACAGACAGAAGTGCTGCAGGTTCTGGGAATTAAACCCCTATCCTCTGAAACAGCAGTTAGTGCTCTTAACTGCTGAGTTGTTGTATCTCCAACACAGATTTTATTATTAAGTTTCAAACCAGGGACAAACGGCTGGAGTGCCTATTTAACATATCAACGTGGACCTGGACTTCAGGTTCTCTCAGCATCCCCTAGTCCCTACGTGTTACAGGGTATGGCTGACATACTCTGCCCTCTACCTTGAACTTTTCAGCCCAGAAGCTGGGCTGTCCTTCCTCAAGAGGCTCTTCCTTATATAATCCAGACATTTGGGCTGCCCTTTTTGTACCTTTGGCTTCCAGGCTTCTGCACCTGATCTCCTCTCCCTTCCCCTCCCTCCACATGACCCAGCTCAGTATGGTCATGTCCACTTGGAACTCTCCCAGATATCCCTGCCTCTGGCTTTGCTCTCCTACGTATCTCTACTAAACATTCTCCTCCACCACATCTAGGCTGTCCTTTTTTTTCTCCCCCCCACACTTTTTCCTTTACTTGCTCATTTATGTGCTCTTGGTTGTGTGTGTGGTTTGTGGAGTCTCTTCTATCTGTCCACGGCTTTCAAGGACGGTCACCAGGCATACGCAACAAGTACCTATACCAGCTGAACCATGTATCCAGCCCAGTCAGAGCTTAAAGTACCTTTCAGAACATTCAGGTTTCTCAGTGCTTCCTAAAAAACCAGCAAATTGAATAAGTAAGTGTTAAGTTAGTGGTATGTGTGGGACTGTAATCCCAACATTTTGGAGGACTGCAGCAAGTTTGAGACTAGCCTGGACCTACAGAGCCTACTGTAAAAACAACAAAAATCTTCAGGTGATCCAGGTTCAAAGTGGTTGAGTCATTTTGTAGAACTAAAAGATGGTGTGTTAAGTCAGTAACTATTTCTTTTATAAAGTATTGGTTTTATCATGTATTCTACTTTCAAAGAGTATGAGGTTTTCATTTTGAGACAGGCTTTCAATATCTAGCCCACGCTGGCTCCAAATTTGCTAGGTTCAGGAGCAGGTGGGTCTCTGAGTTCAAGGTCAGCCTGATCTATACAGTAAGACCTTGTCCCAGAAACACAAAGCAAGGTCAGGCTTAATAACCCATGCCTTTAATTCCAGCACTCGGGAGTCAGAATCAGGTAGAGTTCAAAGTCAGCAAGGACTGCGGAAGAGACCTTGTCTCAACAAAACGAACCAAAAGCCTTACACACAAAATTCGCTTTGTTGAGGTTTTTCAAAGGATTACTTGGTCCTGCCTCTGCCTCCCAAAGGCTGGATTTCAGGCTTGCACCACTACTTCCGATTTTATATGGTACTGGGGATGAAACTTAGGACTTCTTGCATGCTAAGCAGTCACTCACCCAAACAAGCTACATTCATTCCCACACTCAAGTGTTGCTTTTACTATACAATCCTGCGACCCTAGAAATGGGTTGAGCTGAATCTGAGCTCTGTGTGTGTATTTTTTTTCCTGGAGAGAACAGTTTTTCCCAGCCCTCAAAAGGTTATTTCCAAAACTAAAACCTAGGTCGCTCCTCTCCAATGGTGCAAATACAGGCTCTGTGACATTTGCTGTTAATTCGTGTCTCATTTTGTTAAAGATGAAATGATGATACACAACAGATTTTATATGAAAGAGGTTTATTGAATGGAGAGAGAGAGAAAAGGAAGGAGTGAGACATAATAGGGGAGAGGAGAGGGCAGGAGAGAGGAGGAAGAGAGTGAGAGAACAAAGAGCAACAAAGAGGCAGGTTGGTCCTTTTAGGAGCAACTGAACCACGCCTACTAGGTGAGACTACTGGCTGGGGACACATGACATCATAGGTTGCTAGGCAACCTGGAAACAGGTCCCCTAAATACTAACATTCCTCCCCTTTTCTATAATTAAAAAATGAGGAGCTTCGGCTGCTTCTCGTGTAAGGCAAGTTAAAAAAAAAAAAAAATATATATATATATATATATATATATATGTTCATTGGAAGCAGCTCTTAGTTGCCATACAAAGGGGTGAGAGATAAGAGAAAAAAATAGCAACAAAATGTCCAAATTACATGGTCAAGATGAGGGGAAGCATCTATTTCCTTTACTCCACCCATTCACCTGACCCCAAGCTCACCAGCATCTTCTCCTCCTTCTCCTAGCTACCCTACCTACCAGTTCTGACACGCTGCTTCCTTTACCAGCCTCTCAAGTGAACCCCCAAGTCTGGGATGTCCAAAACCACTCTGTCGCTAGGCACCATTCCCCTGTGGTCATTCAGCTACACGATCCCACTTGGTATATCACCTAAGCTCAATACCTACTTCCCCTTAAGTCTTGGGGGACTTGAGCCTTCTCTGACCTTCTAAGAAAAAAACAAAAACAAAAAAACTCCTTCACCCCACTTAATTTTTTAACACCCCAATATTTGCAGTTACAAAGCTCAATGGAACCTCTTGCCTGGTTCAAGACTTCTGGCTTCTCAATTCTGCAGTTGTCTCCCTCTACTCTGTTGTAGCTAACCCCTCAGGGACCTCCCATTTCTCAGTTCTGGATCTCAAGGATGGATTCTTCTCTATCCCCTTGGACACTCAGTCACAAAATATCTTTGCCTTCACCTGGACTGACCCCAACACCCTTGTTTCTACCCAGCTTCCCTGGACTGTCCCACCCGGGATTACGGGACAGCCTGCACCTGTTTGGCCAGGCCATGGCCTCTGATCTACTCTCCTTATTGCTCCCTAAATCTAAACTTATACAGTAAGTAGATAACCTCCTCTGCAGCTCATCCCTAGGAGTTTGCTTCCTCTTTCACTAAACAGAAGATTATTCCAAGAAATGGCCAGACAGATATGGAGTCTGCTTATACTGGTCTTGCCAAATACATGTACCAGCACAAAAAAAGTTCTGTCACCTGTATAGGAAGACTCTACTTCTACTTCCAAGACCCTTAGGATCCCAGATAGGAAACAGGCATCACTGGAAAACTCTACCACCACTACACACCCGATTTACCGATAAGTACCACCCATATCCAGAGAAAATACATCCCAATTACCCAATCCCTGGGGATAGGAGAAGTAATAATACAAACCTGTCATTTTATCTCTTACTTCAGACTCTGACCTTGGCTTACAAGCTCCGTAACACCATTCAACCAGACCATTTTAAAGCTTGTTGACTGTGTCCCACCTGGGACCAACTCAGAGTTATCACTGACAGCTTCTCTGGTGACTCTGTCAAGTAACCTTACTTCACCATTCACTAACTGCCCTGACTCTGATGTTGCCATAACTCCTAACTTTTTCTTACCACCCTCTTTGACATGGCAAGTTGTTTCAAAGCATCAGGGACATACTCCTCAATACTTCATCTCAACCCCAATGCCCTACTGCTAATAATACCTCGATTCTTTGTGGTACTCTGGTCTACCATTGTCTGCCTGCTTCCTGATGAAGAGTTTGCACGCTGGTACTCCTCCCCCCTCCCCGAGCTGGGGGTAATAAATGAAAAGGAGGAGGCCTTACTAATCCCGGTTGTGGACTCAATAGCTGCCCAGCAGGAGAAGAGGGCAATTTAAATCTTGCCCCTCTTGGCTGCTGCACAATCACAGCAGCTGTTGGGACCAGGACAGCAGGACTAGCCACTTCAATAACTTTGTATTATTAGCTTTCTTCCCAGTTTATCCAGGATCTCCAGCAAGTGGCTCAGACAATACTAACTCTACAAGGATGGAGCGACTCACTGGCATTAGTAGTACTTAAAACCAACGAAGATTTCATCTCCTCACTGCTGAAGAAGGTGGCCTTTGCATCTTCCTTCAAGAGGAATGCTGTTTTTATGTCAACCAGTCGGGTATAGAAAAAGACAAAATCCAACAACTGCAGACATACATACAAAAGCAAAGGGAACAGCTCGAGGCCTCTAATTCTTGGGCCTTTGACAACCCCATTAAGAAATGGATTCTGCCCTTCCTCACACCTCTTCTGCTCATCTTTCTGCTTTTGTCTTTTGCACCCTGCTTTATTAACTTCTCACATTCCTCCAACAACAAATGCAAAAATTCTCCAATCAAACCATTAATCAGTTACTCTTACAGGATTAAGAGTAACTCTGCCCACAGAACTGGATGACAATAACCATCTAGTCAACCCTGATGGTGGGCACCAGCTATACCCTGAAAATGACAAGGCCCCTAATAAGCAGGAAGTAGCTTGAAGAGCAAAAGTCACCCCTGTGCCCTCCCCACCATCACCCCCTTCTTAGTTCCTCACTTTTTAAAGAGGGAGGAATGTTGGGATTCCTAAGCAGGCATCTCTACGGCCAGTCCCCAACGGACCTGACAAACTGGACATCAGGCATCTGTGAGGTCACCTGTGGACCACCTACACATGCTCTGGGTCACCTTATAAGAGAACTAGCTCCTTCTCCCCTCTCTGTCTCCTACCTTGCCCAGAGAAGGTCTCTTGTTAGCTCCTCCCTTTCCCCTGATAAAACTTCCCAAGTGGAACCAGTCTCAGCCTTGGCGTGATTTATGAACCCGCTGCACAATCCTAACAGAAGAGGGAACCAGGACTCCGTTTTAAGCAGCTGTCTGCCGCTGCTTCTCCTCTTTCGGGGTCAAGGCCATGGCTGGGCGGAGACCTGACAACTCCAGGCAGGCCCAGGCGTCCTCTTAGGAATTCACAGCCTTATTTAGACAGTTGACAGCGCACCGGAGAGCAGCTGCTCCGCCGTTGCAGGAAGTGGAGGCGATGCCTGACCCGGAAGCGCATGCTGGTCCCGCCCCCTCGGCGCTCGGCTTCCTTTTGTAACAGGCGTGGGTCACGCTCTCCCTCGCTCTCTTTCTACCGCCATTTTGGTTCCGTGTTCTCCGCACAGTAAGTCCCGTCTACGCCACTGCCTTCTATCCGTAGCCATCCTCGCTTCTTGCGAGCCCGGCGGCCTTGGGGGTTTTGTCACGGCGCGTCGGTGGCTGTGTGGGGCTCGGAGTTCCTGCTTGTTCCCGCGCCTGCGGACAAAGTGCGGCCTGCGGCTGGCGTCCAGGCAGAAGCGGGACAGACGGGCCGCGGGTCGGCCCGGAGTTTAGACGTGGGAACGTGGAAAGCTTTGGGGTGTGCGCAGGAGAGGTTGGGCGCGTCTGTAGTTGCGGACGGCGTCGCAGGAACCTGGCGGAGGTTAAGGGGTCACTCACTGCCCTGGAACTTGCAGCGCCGTGTGTCGAGGGGTTGTCGGAACTTGTGGCACCTTGTACTCTCCTTGCTCTTGAGAGTCCGGGGTTCTCAGGCTAAGCGGCGTGAATGATAGCACACAAAGGGGCTCAAGGAGGGCCTGAAATCTCATCATTAGGGTCCAGACCTTGGGATCCTTTCCTTGGGCGTAGAGCACGCAGTAAGGATTGCTGTCCTTGTGGGTCAGGCGAGAACTACAAGGAACCTGGGCAGTGCAAAGTCGCCTGAGTGAAGTGGCTCCGTGAGAGGTTAGACCCCTTTAGTAGAGATCTGAGGGTTGGGTCATATTCTCGTCCTATTTCCAGTCGCTCCGGGGAGGTTGTGGCCGGACCCTGATGATTTGTTATGGTTCTTATGCAAGATTTTCAGAACGCTTGACTCTGGGCTGGGCAGGTGAATTCGCCCCAGTTAATTCGGGCCTCCGTTTTATTCCGTTTAGAAATGCCTGGTGAAGCCACAGAAACCGTACCTGCTACAGAGCAGGAGTTGCCACAGCCTCAGGCTGAGACAGGTAGGTGCCTATAGCGCTTTTTACTGTTTCATAAAGTTGCTCCTGAAGCTATTTATTGGTGGGTAAGGTGACAAATATATTTCTGCCTCTTGGAGTTCCATTTAAAGAAGCTTTTAAAATAGAATTGTGGCATTAGTAATAAAACTTAATTTCTGTCTTGACCGGGACAGGGGACACTTTAAGAGTAAAAAAAAAAAAAATTAACTTTGAGAGTTACAGATTCCATACCCGGCTTTTATGAGTTACACCAGGTGCTAGAAAAACTTGTGTGGAATCTAGACATACAGGAAACCCGAGCAGGGAAGGGCCAGGTGCTTCTGGTGGCACAGGCAGGCCAAGGAGACCTGAGCTTTGGTGAAGTTACGCCAGCATCGGGGTTTTAGATAGCCGGGATTGGCACTGAGCCTCTCGTCACATGTGTGGATGAGATCTGAGCTGCTTGTAAGCGTGTCCCACCCTAAGCCTCAGCCTGGGTTAGTTAACTTGTAGGGATTGATGATGCTGAGATGATTCTGGTGTGCTACAATAGTTCCTTATATGGAACGCCAGGCTGAAATAAGCTCCTGTGGCTTTTCAACTCAAGTAGAATGTAGTGTAAAGATAGGCTTTGAATGCTGGTTAACACATTTTGACATGAAACTTAGAAACACTGGAAAGAGTGTGAATGGTTTTGCTGAGTCAGTTCTACAGACCTAAGTGAAGGGTATCTTAAACACAAGTCCTCCGCTTTGTCTTTTGATGTGCACTGATGTGCCCTTGTGAGGGTGTCAGATCTAAGAGTTAATGGACAGTTGTGAGCTGTCATGTGGGTGCTGGGAATTGAACCCAGGTCCTCTGGAAGAACAGTCAGTGCTCTTAACTGCTGAGCCATCTCTCTAGCCCTTCCATTTTGTTTTTAATGTTACCCATGGCAGTTTGTGTTTTCTTTTGAAATTAAAGTTATTTATACTTAAAAGCATTAAAATCTTCCCTCCCCACCTGTCTAATTTTAGCAGCTGAGGGGATTAATCCAGCTGCTAGACTAGAAAGGAGGTGGGGCCCTGTGCTGGGAAATGGGCAGTGGGGAAAAGAAATGTGCATCTCTGAGGATCTGCAGCTTCAGAACTAACCTAGAGTTAAATGCAATTTTACAAATGTGGAAGCTGAAAATGGATTTAGAATAACCTGGTGGTAGCTTAAAATTATATCTAAAGCAGTCTTTAGTGTTGTTAAAGACATTCCTAATTAGTCTTAACATGCACATGTATTGAGGTCATACCTGTGTGGTGTCTGTAACTGTAAAGTCTTATGGAAAGAATGAAAACAATTAGGCATTGTTTATAATATAAAGGCAAGTAATGTGGACCTTAGCCTATCTTTAGGTCCAGTGAGTCTTATTCCTAGTTCACATGTTCAGAAGTATTTGCATTATAATTAGAAGGCTTTGACCTACCAGTTCTCCCAGAAAGACTGGTTCATCCACTTCTTTATCCTATAATCTGTTAATAAACTGAATAACTTGTGAGGTTGGGTACTATTGTCCTTTTTTTTGTTGTTGTTTTTACGCCCTTCCTAGGTACTTATCAGTTGTTAACTCTTTGATTTAATCCAGTGTTATCTTGAATGGCAGAGTTCTAGACTTCTTCAGAACTTGTGGTCAAAGAGTGGACGGACTATTTTACTTACCTAGACTAAGGGTGTGGGCCCTGCATTTTCTTTATTATTATTATAATTCTCTTAGAAAGAATGGCTTAATTTGGGTTTACTTTCATGATATAATACTTATACCTTGCCCTCCTTTGGCAATAATTAGAATTTAAACTGTTTGAAGAGCTAATATTGCTACAGTATGGCTGGTTGGTATTAAATGTTCAGTTTCAGCTTTAGTAGAACTGAGTTAAGCCAGGTATATCCTTTCTAAAATTTATTCCAACATAATCAGATCCCCTCCTCCCATAGGGCCTAAAAGTATTCATACTTTTCCCCTTTATTCAGACAACCCATCATTAACATTGCTCATAAAAGTGTGGTAGGTGCCATCAGAGATAGAGACAGCTAGACCCCTCTGAGTTCCTGGCCACCTGGGGCTATATACTAAGACCCTGTGCAGAAAACAAAACATGGGGAATGATGTTCACTTGGAAGGAGGTGGAGGAAGGTGTACTCCCAGTCCACCTTAAGTTGGTGGCTATTGTCATGGGTTGTAGTCCCAGCCATTTAGGAAGCTGAGGCAGGAGGATTGGAAAAATTCAAGGCCAGCCTAACAAGTTTGATGGGACTGTCTCAAAAGAGGAATAAGGTTATCTATCTATCTATCTATCTATCTATCTATCTATCTATCTATCTATTATTTTATGTATGAGTGCTCTATCTGCATGTACACCTGCATGCCAGAAGAGGGCATTGGATCCCAGTATAGATGGTTGTGTGTGAGCCACCTTATGGTTGCTGGGGGTTGAACTCAGGATTTCTGGAAGAACAGACAGTGCTCTTAACTTCTGAGCCATCTCTCCAGCCCCAAGGTTATAATTTTAGTTGTAGAGTTCTTGCATAGCATGGGTGAAGCCCTAGGCTGAATCCTGGTGAGGGGGTGGGGGGGTTGTTGACTGCTCCCCATTTAGAGATGAGCTAGTGTTAGACTATTTGCCCCACCTTTAAAATAGTTGGCTTATTTTTGTAGAATGTGGAAAATGAGAAGGATGTAGTGCACTTACTCACTGAGATATGTATGGGTAAAGTTGATACTGCTTGTCACCTGTGTCTAATCCTGTGTGGTGACCTTCATTCTCAGATTTTAAACTCTGTTATTTCCTGTGGGGCATGTGCACAACTTACCTTTTCCCCCTCCTTTTATCTCCTTTTTTTGTCCTGTTTTGGTTTTTATTTTACTTTCTTTTTTGCTTTTCTCCAGCTGTGCTTCCTATGTCTTCAGCCTTGAATGTTACCGCTACCTTAGGGCAGCCTGGACCTCCCCCTCCTTGCTCCCTGGCCCCCCAACAAAGCCCTCTAGTGACTGCTAGTCAGCCTTCCCCATTCCCTTCTCCTAGTATTTCCTCAACCCCTTTTGAAGTTTCTTTTGCCCAGCCATCTTCTGAAATAGTTGTGCCTTTGGGAACTGCCCCTCACACTCCGACTTTCCTCCCACACCTAATAGGACCTCCCATCTCCCCAGCTGCCTTAGCTTTAGCCTCTCCCATGTTAGGTCCAACTCAGAAAGGCGCCCATTCCTCGTCAGCTCCACTGTCTCTGGTTGCATTGGCTCCTCACACAGTTCAGAAGAGCTGTGTATTTCCTACTTACCCCGTCACCTCATCTTCATCAGGTATTGTAGCAGAGTCAGGGCCATTGACATGTGTGACAGCTTCCACCGCTCCCTTAGAACCAAAGGCCTCTCCTAGTCAGGTTCCCTCTCAGGTAGGCCTGAATCTGAAAGGCACTACCCCAAGTCCTCCTGATGTAGTCAGTGCGTTTCCTTCCCACCTTGGTACACCCCTGGCCTCTGTTCATCCTGGATTAGCATCCTGTCCTCAGACACTAGCCACTGCTCCCCCAACCATCTCTTCCCTGATCAAAGGTATCCCCGTTTCCTCAGCTATGCCACAAAATATGTTAAACCTTAACCCAAGGGGACTTGTTAATTCACCTGCTCAAAACACTGTAACTCCCAGCATCCCTCCAGCACCCCCTAGTTCTCTGGGCTCTCATCTTTCAACTTTACATCACAGTTCTTTGGGTTCTCCTATCCAACCTTCAAGTCAGTCAGGTCCTGGTGTTGTGTCAGATCCTATCATTTCTGTAGAACAGTCTTGCGGTGTGCTAACTAATCCACCTGAGAAATCTGTAGGTTCTCCCCTTCCTTTCAGACATGAGCTGGCTGCTGGTTCTGTGGCAGCTCCATCTGTTGACAAAGGTTCCTCTGGTATTACTGGTGTAATCTGCAGCCCTATTGGCTCCTCAGACTTAGCTGCTACTACATTGTGTCCTACAGTGTCTCTCATTCCCAAAAGTGGTTCTAATGCTGCTCTGCAGCCTTTGGTAAGTCGGGTTCCTGCTTCTCAAAAAACTGGCTTACAAGAAACTCCTGTCTGCTGTGTTGAAGCCATCCACCCTGTGATGGATAACCCTTCTACCATTTCTGTAGCACCTGCCACTTCTGTCTCTCCTCCAGTTTCATCCGGCCATGGAAGTAGTAAAGACCCAACTTATCCTGCTACCGCTCTTGTAGCACCTGACACTCACAAGCAACTTCCTGCTCCGTCATTATCAACTACTCTAGGGATACCAGTTTCTGCTCTGCCAGCCACTGAAGGCCTTAAAAATCTCCCCACTTCAGTTTTGCTAAATGCAGGTGCCACTGTTTCTCCAGCCCAAGCAGAACTCCCTACCAGAAAAGATCCTACTCTACAACCCTTGGCCCTAATGGCACTTAAGGAGTCTTCCTATCCCCAGACTGCATCATCTTTGGAGGGACCTTCAGAAGACACTGTGGGGGGACCTGTCCCTGTATTGAGGCCAGATGTTGCTACTACTTCTTTCCTGTGCACTGACTCCCCAACTGCTGTCAGGACAGATTCTTACGTTAGCCCAGACCCTGTCAGTCTACCTCTCAAAAGTTCCATCACTGCCCCAGCAATGGCTCCATTTCTTTATGAAACTTCTGATTCTAAAGAGCTAGCTCCTGGGACTGCCAGAGATAGCTCTACTTCTAAAACATCCACTCCTGCCACTTCCCCTCTGGGTCCTTTAGTCTCTGAAAGTTGTCCTATGGCTCCATCTATGGCTTTATCCCCCCAAAATGTTTCTGTTTCTGTGACAGAAATTCCCAAGTCTGTACCTGTTCCTGCTCCTCCTTCAGCTGGGATTTCTTTTTCCAGTACAAAGAAAGTTATTTCTAATGGGGCGTCTTTGACTTCTTCTCCTGAAGGCCACCCAGATGCTTCTGTGTCTTCCCAAGGAACTCAGTTTCATTTGGCTGATTCCCTGTCTTCAGAGCCTAGTGTCTCCCCTCAGACTATGAGGCCTGCATCTAAGAAAGGTTCTGCTCTCCCAGATGTTTCTCTTCCTTCTCCACTTGAGTGTTTCTTTCTTCCAGAGGCCAGTCTTTCTTTTCAAAGTCCAAAAGACTCACTTAGTAAGCTTTCTCCCATTCCTCCATCCTCCAAAGAGCCCTCCATTACCCCAACAGAGACTTCTGTATCCTCCCAAAAGGTTGCAGCAGAAATTCTCACTTCCCCTCAAAAGACACAAGAAGCCACAGCTTCAGAACTCGTCTCAGCAGTCCAGTCCCCCAAAGCGGCTCCTATTGTACCAAATGTGACTTCTGCCTCTCCTAAAAATACTCCAGCAACTGCAGTCCCCAAAGATACTTCAGCAACCCTCTCTCTCAAAAGTGTCCCGGCTGTGACTTCTCTGTCCACCAAAAAGGCCCCTGCAGCCCCATCTCCTAATCAAGCCCCCATTGCTCTGACTGAGATTCCCACTTCCCTCAAAAATGCCCCAGCAGCTGCAACCCCCAAAGAGACTTTAGCAACCTCATCTCTCAAAGTTGCCTCTGCTGTGACTTCTCCCTCCCCACAGAAGACTCCAAAATCAGAATCCCCTAAGGGTGCCCCAGCTATGAACCTGGCAGCCTCCAAAGAAGTCTCGGCGTCCCATTTTCCCACAGAGGGCTCACCTGTGTCGCATGTGGCTCCTACCTCCCCACCAACGTCTCTAGCAAATGAAGCATGCAGTGAGCTTCTAGCAAATTCATCCCCCAAAGGTGCCCCTGTTATTCTAGCTGAGAGTCCTACCTGTCCTAAAAAGACCCCCAAAACTTCAGCCCCCAAAGAAACTCCAGTAACCCCATCTGAAGTGGTCACAGCTGTTTCATTAGAGGTTTCTCCCTCCCCCAAGAAGGCCCCCAAAACTGCAGCCCCCAAAGAAACTCTCCCTGAAGGGGTCACAGCTGAGCCGCTGGAGATTTCTCCCTCTCCAAAAAAGACTTCAAAAAAGCACCCCAAAACTGAAGCCCCCAAAGAAACTCCACCTGAAAGGGTCATCACAGCTGTGCCATTGGAGATTTCTCCCTCCCCCAAAAAGACCCCAAAATCTTCAGCCCCGAGTGAAAATTCAGCCTCATCCCCAAAAAGGTCCCCCAAAACTAAAGTCCCCAAAGAAACTTCACCTGGAAGGGTCATAGCTGTGCCTCTGGAGATTTCTCCTTCCCCCAAAAAGGCTCCCATAACTCTAGTCCCCAAACAAGTTCCTGTGACCCCATCTCCCAAAGGTGCCCCTACTACTCTAGCTGAAAGTCCTACCTCCTTCCAAAAGGCCCCCAAAGAAACTCCAGCAACTGTGTCAGAGAGTTTTCCCTCTCCCAAAAAGGCCTCAAAAACTGCAGCCCTCAAAGAAAACTCAACCCTATCACCAAAAAGGACCCCCCAAACTGGAGCCCCCAAAGAAATTCTAACCTCACCTTCTGAAGGGAGGCTTACTGCTGTACCCCTGGAGAGTTCTCCATCCCCAAAGAAGTCCCCCAAAACTGTAGTCCCCAAAGAAACTCTAACCTCACCTTCTGAAGGGAGGCTTACTGCTGTACCCCTGGAGAGTTCTCCTTCCCCAAAGAAGTCCCCCAAAACTGTAGTCCCCAAAGAAATTCCAACCACATCTTCTGAGGGAGTCATAGCTGTGCCACTGGAACATCCTTCCTCCCCAACTGTAGCCCCCAAACAGATCCCTGTGACCCCATCTTCCCTAGGTGCCCCTAATACTTTAGCTGATAGTTCTGCCTCCCCTAAAAAGGCCTCCAAAACTGCAGCCTCCAAAGAAGCCTCAGCAACCCCACCTTCCAAAAAGACACCCAAAACTGCAGTCTCCAAAGAAATTCTAGCAACCCTGCCTTCCAAGAAGACCCCTAAAACTGCAGTCTCCCAAGAAACTCCAGAAACACCACCTTCTGAGAG